GGAAGAATTTTTTTTTTTATTTCAGCATATTATGGGGGTACAGATGTTTAGGTTACATATGTTGCCCTTACCACCCTCCCCCCGCCAGAAGAATATTTTTAAATGGACAATGGACTATACAATAAGTTACTTGAAATCCTGTATCTGTTTGTCTTCTTTGTAAATGTATGTTTCAGATAAGTTTAATGAGATTTGAAATACACATTTTGTTCACCTTTTAAGTTAATGAAATAAAATTTGGAACTGAAAAAAAAAAAAAATCAGGCCAAAGACTAAACTTACTTTGCAAACAAATTAGTCTTGCCATGATTATCTTTGGTAAAAATGGGGATGACTATAGAGAGAGAAAAATTTGTTTCAGAAGAAAACTGTAGTACACCTGTTATCAGATTCTATCCATGATCATTGTGTTTTTCTTTTTTTTTTGAGTTTTTATTAGTTGCCTACAATTTGGAATGAATTTTGAATTCTTTCCTGGCTACAAGTCTTTAAATTAACATTTCCAAATTTTTCTTCCATTTTTCTGACTTGGAATCACTGGAATTAAAACTGCCTTTTCCTGAAGACCTGCAAGCTAAAGTTAGATAACTTGACAAAAACTTAGGGAGAAATCACAATAGCAACTTAATATATGAACAGCCTTAGTTCCTGTTGGTGTATGGACTCCTCAGAAAGTTCACTTGAACAGCTGATTTGAACCATAATCCAGAAAAATCTATCAGATTGCTTCAGAGACTCTAGAAAAACTAGTTCATAGACAAGTTGAGACATTAACTTTTGTTCTTCTTTTGTTTCCATAGAAATGTTTTTTATTAAATATCTAATTGCTCAAAATATGTAGAGGCCTGACTTTGGTGGAAGACCATCTGCAACACCACTGCCTCAAATGAGACACAACTGTTAGCTGGCCTGGCCTATTCCCAGGACTGAGAAACTGGTTCAATGGCGTATACAATAATCCACCAACCCAATTTCTGGACTGTGGAACTTCTTGGAGAAGCTTCAGATCAGGGAATGTTGGGGCTCCTGCCCTCCTGTCTCTGGCCCTTCATCCTCCCCTGAGGCTAGCCACAGAAACTAGAATCTTCTTCCCCAAGGTGGGTCACAGGAACCAGAACTCCTTTTCCCCAAAGCTAGCCATAAAACTTAAAAATATTACTCTAACCACCCCCAACACACACACCTTTCTGTGTAAAAACTGGCCATAAAGAAATTATCCGACTTACCTTGTTTGACTGTAGGTCATGAGATCTCCATTCCAGAGAGGGTCCTGCCACATACCCAGAAAGAAGGAATGCTGCTCAGAAAGGCCAAGAAGAATCTAGATAAACAGGCCTTGCTGAGTTTCCCTATTTAGTCAATTAACATGAGATCATACCCTTTTTGTCCAATCATATTTCTACATGGCTGCCCATACTTTGTTGAACCTAAGCATAAAAATTGACAATTGTTACTGTATCTTTGGGACTTCATTCTGAAGGCTCCCATGTCAGGTAAAACTATGATCAAATGAATCTGTTTGCCTTTTCTTCTGGTAATCTGCCTTTTGTCAGTGATTTTCAGCAAAACTTCAGAGGACAATGGAGAAGTTTTCCCTTCACCCCTGCAAGGGACTTATCAGAGATAAATTAGTATTTATGTTTTCTTGAACATATGTCACACTCACAGGAAAAACATTTTCATTAACTTTTTCCAAAAGACTACTCTATCCCAGTGTACCTATTTTTCCTTTGGTGCATATATTTTGTTCATTGCCATTCATCAACCAATTACCTTCTCATTTTTCACATTTATCATGAAATGTTTATTTTCACTAACTAGAATTAGTTTATTTTCATGGCTGTATATTGTAGATTCTACTGCAAATAAGACACTTAATAATCAAAACATAAATCATCTCTGCCTTGGTTGTGGTTTTTTCTTTTTGCAGTGAATTTCCTCAGAGTAGATTAACCTGAACTCTTAAAAGCACAGGATCTACTTATGTACCGGTGTAAAACAGAATGTTCTCCAAAACAATCCAGGATATAATATCTGGACTTTTAAAAACTAGCCTCATTTAATTAGGATTAATTCCTCCTTCTCAGAAGTTCTGTGATTCTATTTCTGTAAAATGCAAAATTATAAGCTTAATTGTTTCCAAACATTAAATGAAATTTCTAATCTTTTTATCTAGGACCTTCAGGTGTTTTTTCCCTGTCCATCTGTCACTCCTTTTTAAGGTACTCTGAGGTGACCTAGAGGCTTGTCACGCTAAGGGTTTCCTCTGTGTAGAGAGGAAACTGGAAGTTCCAATGAGAATGGGAGGGAAGAGAGAGAGAGGGGACTCAGAAAGCACAGATCCCCGCAGACCGAGCTCAGGAGTTTGCACTTGGTCTTCAAGCAAGGCGGGTTCTAAAGTGGAGTGTGTCACCCCAGGATATGCAACAGCGTCCACTGGGGTACTAGAAGAATTTATTATATGTATTTTTCCTCTAAAATATGGGGGGGGGAAATTAAATTGCACTTATATTTAACACACATGGATTGACACGTGCTCAGTCTGTGCCACACTGCCACACTGTCACAAACTTGAGCAGTGTCCTGAGGGAGAAGAAGCCATCACCACTGTCCCCAGGGGTTGCCTGTGCAGCCTTGGGCATTTGTTCCCTTCCAGCAAGTGGTGATTTGTGGTGGTTTATGCGATCCTGGCTAAGGAGATTTACAGACTATGTCATCTGGTGTTAACTGCTAATCCTCGCAAGAGGGACAACTGCTTTTAAACGATTTCTGAAAAACAAAAGAAACACAAATAAAAATTTAAGGGGATAAAACCAGAATAAAGAAAATATTAGTAATGTAAAAACAAGGAAACGTTCATGTTTGTCATGACAGAGCTAATATTTTTCCAATTCTTATTATAAGTTCTCTGTTTAACCATATTATGAGATAAAAACAACAATGCTTTAATCAGAACTGACAAGCAGTAGGCCACGAAATTTTGATACCATCAAGAAGATTGTTTAAAAGAGGGATTTATATCCTCTGTTATTAATGATTACTTGGCCCTTGTGTATATTGGGCCTTTGGTCAAAGGTGGTATAAGAAAACAAATATAATTAGGAAGATATTTAAAATTGCTAATTATTTCATATTTATCTCATCTTTTTTTATTCCTATTTGGGTGCATGATTTATTGTGTGTTAGGTTATTTTCATAAAGAACTAAGTAAACACATATTAGGCCTGCTTGCTGTTTTAGTTAACTTTGCTATATAACCAACCACCCCCAAATTTTGTGGCTTAAAACAATTTATTTCTATCTCTCATGGTTTCTAGATTGCCTGGGCTCAGCTGGGTCGTTTTTGCCTGGGGTCTCTCCTGTGGTTTCAATCAGTTAACCTGGGTTGCAGTCATCTGAAGGCCCAGCTGGGTTGGATGCTTAAGATGGCCCACTCATGTGGCTAGTAGTTGATGCTGGGTGTTGGCTGGTCAGTTATCATCTGGGACTCTTGACCAGTGAGCTTGCACATGGCCTCTCCATGTGATCTGGGCTTCTTAAAGCTTGATGATTGGGTTCCAAGTGGGAGAGTCCCAAGAGCCTTCCAGGAGGAAGTAATCAGAAGCTGCCTGGCCAGTTAAGAGTTCGAACAACATGGCTTCCGTACTTCTCCATATTCTACTGGTCAAAGCAGTTACAGGGCCCACCTGGATTCAAGAGGGTGGGGAAAATAAGCTCCACCTGGCGATGGAGTAGAGTAGAAGAGCACATCAATGGTTGATGGTGTTGTGGCCATCTTTGGAAATTACAGTCTACCACATATGCTCAAAAAGATTGTTTTTGGAGACAAAGTCTCACTTTGCAGTGGCATCATCACAACTTACTACAACCTCAAACTCCTGGACTCAAGCCATCCTTTTGCCTCAGCCTCCAAAGTGTCTGGGACTACAGGCACACACTGCCATGCCTAACTAATTTTTTAATTTTTTGTAAAGATGGGGTCTCACTATGTTGCTCAGGCTCCCAAAGTGGTAGGATTACAGGCGTGAACCACCACACCTGGCCTCAACATGTTTTGGCTGGCCTTTGTGCAGTGGTGTTTACAACTGATTGATCACAATCAGTTACAGATTCCTTTGTTCCTTCTCCACTCCCACTGCTTCACTTGAGTAGCCTAAAAAAATAAAAAATAAATAAGTAGAAAAGAACAGATCTAAGCACATTTTCCCACACTCTGTTAAACCAGTCTCCCATTCCT